AATTAAACCCAAGGTCCATTTTCTTCAAGAATGGTGTACTTTATGGCTTCTAACCAATTCATTTACTTGCTCTTATTAAAATGTCAAGTCTAGTTACTTAATTATAGCAACTTTTTCTTTCAGGACAGAAGTTCAGCATCTATTAACCGCAAGCATCATTGGTTACTGGAACAAAAACTGCTACATTTTGTGGATGCCTTCCACCACTATGTGATGGACAGGGTATTCATTCTCTCTTTGATAGTAATTTTTTGGTGGAATTTCTGCCACATTTGGGATACATTTTGGACTCATGAATCCTGCCTTTTTAATAATCCTGCCACTTGATTTGTGAAGAAATTTGTGTATAGGGCACCAGTATTGATGGAAAATTATTGAAACATGGTGATTTTGTTTCTGGAAAGAAGAAATTTATAGGTTGCCTTTATATTCTTGTCTGTTTTCATAAATAATTACTACGATCACATATGTTACTGCATTTCTACTTTGTGTATTGTTAGCGGGGCTTAGACCCCTATTATAAGGTAAATGCAATTTCTAACATAAATCGTGATTTCACAAGCTCATAGAAATAGGAAAAAGTTGTCTGTTCAATATCTGCACTCGACTGTTATAACATTAAATACAGTAGTAGATTGGCCTTTGCAATCAATTGTTGCTACATTTTAACACTGTGAAGTGTTTCCTACCATGTAGGTGTATCACAGTGCATGGGGTGAACTCTGTGAAGGTTTGGCTGCAGCAAGATCATTGGATGAAGTCATCGAAATACACGAGGCTTACTTGATGTCTATTCAAAGGCAGTGCTTTGCTGTTCCAGAAAAACTGGTATTTTCACATGGATGCACTATTTATTTGTTTTCCCCCCTTCCTAAATTATGGAAATGAAGAATCAAGCCATGAGAGGTTAACCGAAAACAATTTCCTTTTCCCAGTGGGCATTGATTGCTAGCCGTATCAACAGTATTCTTGGATTAGCTCTCGATTTCTATTCAGTACAGCAGACTCTTAGCAGTGGAGGGGCAGTTTCAGCTATCAAGGCAAGGTGTGAAATGGAAATCAATAGGATAGAGAAACAGTTTGATGACTGCATAGCTTTCCTCGTGAGGGTAAGCTCTTTTTTCTCCCTTGTTTTGATTCTAATCCGAATGTTATAACTACTTCAATATCGCAGACTTGATTGGTTCTTAATATCATTTTGCAAAATTTCAGATTCTATCTTTCAAGCTCAACGTGGGACAGTTTCCACATTTGGCAGATCTGGTTACCAGAATCAATTACAACCATTTCTACATGTCACATAATGGAAGTTTGATAAATGCACCTGGCTCTAATGCTGTTCCTTCCAAATCAGGAAAGTTGTTTGCAGGCCAAAGAGATTGAAAGATAACTTGAAGGGATAATGTTTTTCGTTTTTTCTTTTTCGATGTACATCATTTATAGTATAGAGCCTCTTCTTGCATTTATCAATTGAGAGAATATTCTACTGGTTGGGATGAAGAACCTGTACTATACTAGTCTGTATTTCATAATCTTAAGGATCAAGCAATTGCAGGGTAGCTGTTTGAGAATACTGTTATCTGTTGCAGTTTTATATTAGTAGTTAGTACATATAAAGGACTTCCCTTTTTTCTTCTTGATAACCAAAAAATCTATGATGCCAATGTTGCAAGGTTTGAAACTCGATGGATTACATGTCTCTCTATCCTTATCCACTTAAATATCAAGCTTTTCTCTGGCAAAGATTCGAATGTCATGTGCACTATCTGGACAGATGCATGCAAATCCCTGATAAGCAGTTCATAGCTGGAAATTGAGTACACAGACTAATCATTCAGGTCTTCTCATATAATCAAAAGTTTCAAGACAGTGAAGTTTTAAATAAGGTTCTATCAAAGCAGATTAAGAACATCCAGAAATCTTGAGGCAAAAATGAAGAAAAATATATTGGCATGGCGAAAACCCCCGGATGTGGGATGAGCTAGAGATTGTAACATGACAATTTATTTGAAAAAAGCCGAGACAACTCCTGAAATAGAAAACCTTTCCCCACAGTAAACTCTAGTATATGAGATCCACTAGCAGCGATCTGGTAGGCTCCTAATTCTTGAAAAGAAGAAAACCTGTGGTAACAACATGAACATCATCATGTTATAATATAAAATGATCAATCTTGTCAAAGAAAGAATTTGTTAAGGAAAAGATTGTTCAAATAAAGTACGCCTCAGAAGAAGGAACATCATATTTTAAAGGTATTGCAACAAACAAGAAGATGTAGCAGAGCTGAAAGTGTCAATTGCAAGAGGAGGGCAAAGTAAAAGAAGACAATAGAGAAAGCCAAGGACGCTTGCAGCTACCACGGTCATAGGCACTCCGCTCGTTAGTAAGCCCCTTTAGAGAAAGGGGTGAGCCAGGAACTTATTTATGACTCTTGGTAGCAACACATGACATCTCCCACCTAACCTTAATTTTATTAATTGTATGATTCGTGTCTAATCAGCGACAACAAAAACATACACAATGTAGGTTCCACTTACACAAAGTAGGGTTTGGGAGGGAGTGTACGCGGATCTTACTCCTACCTCAGAGGTAGTAGTGTCTGATCCCTATGGCAAATAAGCTTCCTTTTTAAAAATAAATAACTAATCCACCATAGGTGCTCTTTTAAGCCTATGTAAGACAGGGAATGAAGGGACTAGCAGGAGGCCGAAAAGCCATATTGCGCTAGCAATTTAGCGCAACAACTTAGTATTTTGTTGATGTGAATAATTCAAACAACCATGCAGTTTCAAACTTCTTTTAAAATGTAAACTCGTCCTCATCACAAATATATGAAACCCCTAGATAATTGCAATCTCATTCAACGTCAATAAATAAAATCATCCCCAAGGCTCTCAATGTTCTGTATTCTAAATCTTGGAAACCCAGCCCCATTTCAGTAAATGAGATTAGGATGCTAAGGCTTTCTTTCATTAACATTCAGTGAAGGTGCATAGCAATATAAATCCATGTTCTCATGGTGATAAGTATGTAGAAGTAACAGCAAAAGGCTTAATCTTATTCTGGGCTGCAACATTGGCTCATTTCCTTCCACTTATTTGGGTCTTCCTTTGGGTGCTCAGCATAAATCCACTGAAATTTGGACAGGGGTTATTGGAAAGTTTGAGAAGAGGTTGGCAACATGGAAAATGCAATACCTCTCCTTTGGTGGTAGAGTAACACTTATCAATAGTGTTCTAGACAGTTTACCTACTTATTACATGGCCTTGCTCCCAATGCCAAGTGAGGTTATAGAACAGATTGACAAGATAAGAAGGGACTTCCTCTGGAAAGGCAATAGGGAGAAACACAAATTTCATCTCATCAAATGGGAGAAGGTCACACAACCAAAATACCAAGGAGGTCTTGGCATTAAGAACCTTGCAGCCCACAACAAAAGTATGATGATGAAGTGGCTTTGGAGATACAACATGGAAGACGCAGGGCTCTGGAAAGAGGTCATCATAGCTAAGCATGGAAGGCTGAATCAATGGTGCTCAAATATTACTACACTTCCTTACGGAGTGGGACTGTGGAAGAGTATTAGGATGTTGTGGGATACATTTGATCAGAATGCTTACTTTGAATTGGGCAATGGTGTACTCCTAAAATTTTGGACAGACAAATGGCTTGGAAATACCACTCTTCAGAAGGATTTCCCAGATCTGTTTAGAATTGCTCAAGATCCCAATTCTATTATTGCTGCTAATAGAGAAGGGATCAATTGGGATATAAGATTTAGAAGAAATATGCACGATTGGGAAGTGAATGATCTGGTAGACCTTTTTGCTAGACTACAACATTGTCACATTAATCTCCAGGCAGCTGATAGGCTCAAATGGGGACACCAGAAAGGAGTTTATACCGTCAAGGAAGGGTATCAACAGTTGTGCTCTAGAAACCCCGTGATAGGTAACTGGCCCTGGAAACTCATTTGGAGGACCAAGCTACCACCTAAGGTAGTTTTTTTTACCTGGATAGCTTTATATGAGGCATGACTCACCCAAGACAACATAAAGAAAAGAAAAATCCAATTCCCAAACAGATGCTATATGTGCAAAAAAGAGGCTGAAACCCCCAGACAACTTCTTCTTCATTGTGAGGTGGCCTCAGAATTATGGAGCATGTTTTTTTGTCTCTCTGGCATCAATTGGACCACACCCCTCACTGTTAAGGATGCATATGAGAGTTGGAGTCTATGGAAAGTTGACAAAGCCATCAAGAAGATCTTGATTATGATACCTGCTTGTATTTTTTGGTGTATTTGGTTAGAGAGGAACAAGAGATGTTTTGATGGAGAGTCAACTGTTTTAGGCATTTTGAAGACTAGGTGCACTGAAAATTTGTTTAGTTGGACCAACTTGTATCCTGCTGTTAATGCAGAACAACTTCAGGATTTTACTAACTCATTAGCTCTGGCTTAGATAGTTTGTATAGTTAGTTAGAGATTTTTTTTGTAAGCTCAAATGCCATATCTTGTAAATTATGCATCTTCTTGATGTTGTTATTAATACCACTTATCTTATAAAAAAAAAGGCTTAATCTTTTTCAGTGAACACTAATTGCCACTAGGCTAGCTCCATTGGTAGTACAGCAAAAGGCTTAATCTGTGTCCTCTTCATTGTATGCATTTCCATTTTTGTATCTATTTCATTTCATTCTGAACATATAATTTCATGTAGATGAAGTAAATACTAAAAAAGTTGCTACAATAGTTCTGATTCACTACCCTTGCCCTATGAAGAAATAAAATATGTCATCCTACTAAAACAGGATTTCAACAAGAAGATTAATTCTCAGTGAAACATTTCAACAAACACCTTTTGCTCAAAGTCAGCGATAACACTGGCTGAACCACACAGAGCCCAGATGCAGAATTCAAATTCAAACAAGTTTTTTGCACAAAATTAACACAGGCACAATCAAAGCGAAAAAAAAAACAACAACCCAATCACCAAAATTTACCTGGGTATTGTATTGTCTACCAAGAAGCTTTCTTTACACCCTGCAAAGCACCACGGGCAGCCAAACCACGAAAAACAATACGAGACATTCGAAACTTTTCATAAACTGCACGAGGTCGACCAGTAAAAATGCACCGATTTCTGATTCGCGTAAAGGAACTATTTCTGGGCAACTTGGCAAGCTTGTACTGATGAGCTTCTCGCATTTCAGGAGGAAGTTGAGGATCTTGAACAAAAGCTTTATACAACTTTCGCCTCAATTCATACTTAGCAGACAACAATCTACGTTTGTTATCTTGAATATTTCTCGTGAATTTCTTCCCCAAAGCCACCATTGAATTCATCTTTGCTCTCTCAGTTGATCGATTTGCTGTACAACTCCCAGATTTCAGCTTTTTCCGATCAATGGGTAATACACTATTAGGGCTTCACCTACAGCCCTTTTCGAGCTATAGGCCCAGAAGAAGAAAAAAAAAGTAACAGGCCTAATAGGCCTAAGGAGGAGAGTAATATTAAGCCCAATATTAGTTACAAGACCAAAAATGGAATTTCCATATAATATAAAGTTAAACCAACTATTATGCATTTTTTATTTTGAATTTTTTGTACTTTTAGAAATGCATTTTTATACTTCCATTGGACGATTGTAACAGCCCAATTCACTAATTGATGTTGTCCACTTCGTATCTAGGTCTGCACGCTTTAAAACATGTAATTAGGATTGGAGACTTTCTTACTTAAATATTGAGCATCTCTCATATGGAATTTTAGCAACTAGGTTGTTACGATTAAGGTTTGCTTGACAATCGATAGGACGATACCAAAGGATTAGTTTATATATATATATATATTAGACGTTGAACCTTCACGTAGAAGTTACAAGCATTTTTAAATATACATATATCAAGAGCAACTAGCAAGTCAGAAATTTGTTGTACTTACCTCAAACAAAACAATTCAATTTTCCAAGCTAAACATGCTTCAAATTCTAAGTAGAACCTCTGATTCTTTCAGACTAATAAGGAAAACATAAACTATCAAAGTTCTTAAACAAATAGCAAATTTCGAAAACAAGTCCTCTCATGCCTCTTTTTCGTCCTTAACAATCATCTGAATCACTTGATGAATTAGTATCTGAATTACAATTTGATGGATTTAGTACAGCTCCAGTGAAAAGTACCAATCTTGAAACCTCTTCCCTTACCATGAACAAGAAAGGGTGATCTGCTACAAATCTTGGCCTAGGGGCTTCATACATCGAACATCCCATGTCATCATCGGACACCACAGTAACAACTGCTGCCTCAGTACCCTTCTCGTTTACTTCGATAAATGCTTTTTGTATTATCCTGTTGACAAAGAATGGCCCCTCAGGTTTCACAATCTCTGTGAGCTCCATGCACTTGTCATCAAAAGGCAGAGTCAATCCCATTTCCCTCATTGTTCTTATAACTTGTTTCATCGCAGTGTATGTGAATTTAAACTTTGGGATGTAGAATGCATCAAGTGATACAGAACAAAGGTTGAAATTTTGGGTAAAGAATTTTGGATCAGAATTCACTTTTTCCAATAAGCTAGGCAATCCATTCTTTTCATTTGGAAGGAAGATAAGCATAGAGAAGTCTTTGTTATCGACATTTTTTCCAATTTCATATGGAATTTTAGCAACTTGATAGCCTTCAAATGATCCATAGGTGAAATTGTCGCAGCCAGTCATGAAGGGAACTGAAATCTTGTCACCATTGAGTAGGTAAAAGTCTCTGTCTATAGTGCATTCTTCATCAAAATCCCACGTACCTTTAAAATAGAGGGCGTTCGCTAAAAGGACCTTTGTATCATCTGTAATGTACTTTGGCTTTAGAATATCTTTGATAAGGCCTCTTGATGCAGTCTCTGCCCAGATGTTAACATCTTCTGCCACCTCTTCCTGCACAATAATGAAAGTCAATTATTTATGGAATTCATCAACATTGTACACTAATTAATAGCTTGCAGACAAGGGGAAACTATGGCATATTGATCCTGCAATTTGTCAGAAAACCGTGTGGAATTAGGTCGCTCGAATTCCAGCAGAGCCTATAAGTTTATATCCTGAATACGCCTCTGTCTCTAGAGTCACAAATGAAAACAAGGAATAACAAAAGTGACATTTTTAATTCAGTGCTTCTAAAATTTGGTTCACTTGTGTCAAGAACAGCAATAAAAATAATATTTTCACATTTCTTCAAATCTCAGAAATGTTTGACATTATAACAGCAAGTTAAAAAATTAAAATTAATAAGCAACTTCCTGACATCTTTTTTCTGTAAACAAATATCTCAAAAAATATACAAATATAACGACAACAACTAACATATCCCGTGTAACTCCATTACACTTTGTTCGAATGGTTGTTACGTATTGTTTCATAATGAATAGTATCGTATTATATTGTAATTTGTTGTATTCTATCATACTATATTGTTTTAATGAATAAAATATTTGGATAGATTCTATGTTCTTGGTAAATGATAAAATAAAACTCTTATAAAATATAGAAAGAAACATTAAGATAATAACATGATCACACCAAATTGATACGATACAATAAAATTGAAGTAACACCTACAATATGATACAATGCGTGACAACCATCCAAGCCAGGTGTTAGTGGGTTCTAAAAAGAGTAGAGTGTACGTAAATATGATATGAAAAAGGAAATACAACAATAAAGAAAACACAACAAGTAATAAGACAAACAATACAAAGCAATCAGGATGAAATTAAACAGAACACTTACCCTGAGTTCAAAATCAACTATTTTAGGCTCAATTTTATAGAGAGTAGTGGCTAAATGTTTGAAAGAGTCTCTGATTTCATGTGTATGAGCGACCCACATTCCATTAAGAAAACTCAAATCAGGGCCACCATTACTATTACTCTCAATAACAGTGGCCATATTTAAGAACTTGGAATTTAAATCGTCAAGGTCACGATCACCGAGAAATCGAAGCATCTGATCCAATGTATCTCCCCTTGCTCCGACGGCCGTCATGTTCAGTGCGGCGTGGAAAGATAATGGAGAGAGCAGTATGTTAGTATTCGAATTTTTGGTTTTTTTAAGCTCTTTTTGAATCTCTTTTTGAATAATTCGACTTGTAACTTGTGGGCAATAATCAATTTTCTCTTCTTTTCGTTTCGCCATGGATTTGTTGATCGGTAGGAAGAAAGTTGAAAGTTATAATGAAAACCCTAGTTCCTGCTGATTTCCCTATAAATATTAGAAAAAATTACTAGAATACACACGCTTGCCAAGTTAACATATTCTCAATATTTCCCTACTATTTTAAAAAAATACTAAAATTCCTATTGTTCCCACAAAACTAAACCACCGAATACTAGAGCCGTCAATATGGGCTAGGCCCATTAGGCCGGTCTGGCCTAACCCGGGATTTGATAGGGCTGGGCTAAGATTTTTGGGGCCCATTTAAGAAAAGGGCTTTTTAGCCCGGCCTGAATAAGCCTGCTGATTTGTGGGGCTTGAGAAATATAGGTAGGGCCGGCCCGTGGGCCAAATAAAAATAATTTTAAAAATATAATATAATATTAAAATTTAAAATTAAAGAGAGTCCAAACTCAAAATCTATTTAATATTTAACTAATTGAAACCGCATATAAATTGCAAATGAAAATAAAGATGTTAAGACAACCTTGCCACAAACTGATTCAGATATGCTTGATGAAGATGATCATGAAGTGTTGGATATATGCCATAGATTTCATGATGTGTTAGATATGCCATAAGTTTCATGATTGTTTTTAAGGAGTTTATTTTTTAACTTTTTTATGGTTGGAATATTGTCACATTTTTTGTGTTTTAATGTGACAAAACAATTATGTTAATATTTTTATTTAGATATTTATACTTTTATTTGAAAAACCTTAATAAATATTTTAAAGATAATTTTATTTGTGGATTTGATTAACAAGTAGTAACATTAACACCATGTAATATTGTTTTGTCTATATTTATGATAATATTTTTAAATTATAATTTATAATTTATTTTAATAATTATAAAAAATATATAATTTTAAAAAAAGTGGGCTGGCCCAGCAAGCCTGTAGCCCACGTACTTGTGGGCTGGGCCGATCGTTTTCTGGCCCACACCAAAAATGGGCTAGCCCGGCCTGACCCGTAAAATGTCAAAGCCTGTATGGGTTAGCACGGATGGGGTGGGCTAGCCCATATTGACAGCTCTACCGAATACATTATTCTTGAAGAAGTCTAAATCTTACTTTCCCACCCATAAATTTACTCCAATAATTTCTCCTCAAATTTTCCCACAACCCACGATTTCCTCTCCAAAAATTTTCCCCCATTATTCTCAACAGATTCATTACTCCAATTTTGAATTTCAAACTAATTTTCTCTCCATTCAACTAATTTCAGAGTTTGAAATAAGTAGTCTCTTCATCTTCAACTTTTTTTTTTCATTTTTTCTTATACTTTATGGATCATCCGTCTTTTAGTATTGGGACCCAAATAGTCACAGCTAACACTAATCAAATCTCTTATTATGAAGATCCTCTCTAATAGGTTGCATGATCCTATAAAAATGGCTAAGCAAAGTTCTAAGAAGTCAAAACCTAAAAAGGAGGCACATGGAAAAACACCTAAGAAAAGGGGTAGAAAGGTTGCCCCGGCCATATCCAGATATGCCTTACCAACGGTATGTATTTTACTATTTTTTTTTATTTTTCTGTAATTTTATGTATTCACATGTTACTATTGAATCCATAACATTCGTTTGAGGTGGAATTTGTTCAAGATATTAAGTAACAAGAAAACGACAATCTGTAACTATTGAATCAATTTTTCTTTACTTACACATTTGATCTGTTTTTATAATGTATCTTCTTCTTTTATGTAGTGACTGCGATATATTTTTGTTGTTTTTGTTGAATTTCTGAGCGGTGAAATCAACATCCCATCTAATGATTTTCGAAGTCACTATCTTTGCACTAGATATGCAACACTGTTATGAAAGTATGGTCTCAACAAGGCCAAGATAGAATATGTTAGCGAGAATGATGATCCTATAAGGCCGAAGAGTGACTACACTCCACCAATAGAAGATGATCTTGTTAATGTAGAATAGATTTTTATATATCGATTCACCGACAGTTGTTGATGATATTGTTTTTAAGATACATTAATTAGTGTTTTTGAGTATTTCTTCCCGTTTGAAGATACTACTTCTAAATGTGAAGAGTTTTTATGTTGAAAATTATTTATTTCGCTTTTCATTTTGTTTTCAATATACTTAATACCTTGTTAAATTTTGTCTCTTATAAGTATACTAGAGGGTATAGCACGGGCCTAACATAGAAAATTCGTTTTGTATAAATAATAATAGACTGTCTGTAAA